ACTCAGGAGCCACTCACCTGCCCCCTGCACTCAGGAGCCACCCACCTGCTGGCCCCAACACAAAGGTCCCAAAGCACTGTGGCAGGAAAGAAGCGCCGCAATTCACCTGCCATCACCCTCTTGAAATCGCTCGGTGGGCTCTGCTAGGTTCACTGCATTGCCAAAATCCCCTATCTGCACGAGGACGGAGGCCGGGGGTCAGTCAAAATGCCCTATCTGCACGAGGACGGAGGCCGGGGGTCAGTCAAAATGCCCTATCTGCACGAGGACGGAGGCAGGGTCAGTCAAATGCCCTATCTGCACGAGGGCGGAGGCCGGGGTCAGTCAAATGCCCTATCTGCACGGGACGGAGGCCGGGGTCAGTCAAATGCCTATCTGCACGAGGACGGAGGCCGGGGTGGTCAAATGCCCTATCTGCACGAGGACGGAGGCCGGGGTCAGTCAAATGCCCTATCTGCACGAGGACGGAGGCAGGGGTCAGTCAAATGCCATATCTGCACGAGGACGGAGGCCGGGGGTCAGTCGAAATGCCCTATCTGCACGAGGATGGAGGCAGTGGCGGGGGTCAGTGACGGTGGCAGCAAGGGCATGACTTAGCACACTCATGACTTAAAACACAGCGAAATGGGAAGTTTGATGGGGAAGAGGATGAAAGACGGGGCATGCTCCGAAGCAGTGTCCTTCCAAAAGTGATCAATCATCGGAGCTCTGTGCAAGATGATGAACCTTTAAGGTGCAACTGTTGTTGTCGATAAAGATGTTTTCCGGCTTCACGTCGAAGTGCACGGTGCCCCTAGAGTGCATGTGCTGCAGACCCATGCCGAGGTCTCGCACCACGCGCCAGAACACAGCTTCCTCCATTCCTGTCCCAAGCAAAATGAGTACCCTGTGTGAATGGGCCTGTGGGTGGCTCGACTTGCCAAGCGGCTGCCGGGAGAGGGCGTGATGGAACCAGGGCTTCATGACAGCCTGAGAGCAGCCTAAAGGAGCGGGGAGGGAGACTGTGAACGCAGTCCGAGATACTGACGCAGGCAAACGTTCGCTTGCTGCACTAAAGGCACGGCGACCATTTGTTGCTGCACCGAAAATGGGCAAGCAGCTACTCACTGCACCGAAAAGAAGCAAGCTTTCACACAATGCGCCGAGGGATGGGCAGCCGCTTGCCCGCGGCACCGTGGGCAGGCGTGCGTTTCTCGACTGCCTCTCTGCTTCTGCCCCTTGTGCCACAGCCAGGTCCAGTAGGCTGAAAGGAAGGTGGGGGTGAGAGGCAAGCCTATTGGAAAATGCGAACTTTGCTTCTCACGAATATTTTGTAGCAAGTGCTGTGGACCTCACATCCTCGGGCCTTGATATCACAGTCAGACCTGGCGGATGGCAAGCTTTGATGAGCTCTTCTAGCGTGCCGCCCAGGCAAGGCTCCATCTGTCGGTGCAAATTTCCCGCCCAACAATCATCAGAAGGCACTACTGCACAGCTCGCTCCATACCAAGGGGTGCCACAGGGCCAACGACCACAAGCTCTCAGGGGAAACAGCTCTCAATAATAACAAATAACAAGCTCTCAGGGAAAACAGCTCTCAATAATAACAAATATCAAGCTCTCAGGGAAAACAGCTCTCAATAATAACAAATAACAAGCTCTCAGGGAAAACAGCTCTCAATAATAACAAATATCAAGCTCTCAGGGAAAACAGCTCTCAATAATAACAAATAACAAGCTCTCAGGGAAAACAGCAGCTTTATAGCTTCGTCGCAAACGCAACCAAATATGCTCCCTGCAAGGGACTCCAGTCTGGAGAAGGTGTAGGGGGTAAATATGAACCCCCTGAGAGGCTCTGGTCGAGGGAAGGCCTGGAGAGGGAGCTTGGGTCCTGGCAAGTTCCGCAGTACCTCCAAGCAGAGGTGGGCACCGGATTTCCACCCGCGGAAGTACCTGCACCACCAAATCTCTTCCTGCTAGGTCAAGCCGGTGCGCAGAGCTCTTGTTCCACACTGTACATGCAAGAGCTCGGCACTTGAGGCGCGCTTTGAGTGCACACCTGCCTCGCAAGGGTCACAGGGAAATAAGGTTCGGTCACAGGGAAATAAGGTTCGGAAAGAAGCACAGAAGTGATCCTACCTCACAAGGTTTCGATGTTCGCCAAGATGCTCGCCTATCTTTAGTTCCTGCTCCCAAATCTCGATTTGCTCATCCTGCACTCCCTGCAGGAGAGTCCCGCCCCGCGTCTGTGTCTCAGCTGCGGGGCTCTCCTTGCCCGACACACTCCCGGATATAGCAAAAAGCGCCGGACGGACACATACTTCCTTGACGCTGGCGTGACAGGCCCTCGACAGTGAAATAGGTGGGCACTCCTGCTTCCCCTGTCCAACACTGAGCAGTCGCGTTGGAGCCGTTAGAGGCCCCTCGAGCCAGGCCGGTCCGGCATGGAGCAAAAGCGGCGAAAACACAAGCGAAAGTATCCGCAAGTAGCGGGGGCGAGCACGGGTTGAGCGTGGCCAAGGACAGAGGGCGGACACGGGGTGTGCCGAGTATGCAGTCGGACAGGGGGCCTGCACGGGGCGTGTTGACTATATCGGAGAGGGAGCGAGTCCTCCGACCTCATTAACGGGCTTCAGGCAGATTTTGACCACGGTCTGTTGTTCTAAAACATGGTTCTGAGCGAGGTAGACGATGCTGGTCTGGGAGCGCCCAAGCTGCCGCCCGAAGCTCAAGTTGGGGTCCGGCGGCATTGTGTATAGTGGGTTCCTGCACGATTTCCAAATACCAGTCAGTGTGGGACGGGGAAAGACTCTCGGGAGGGTTCGGTGCGTTTGGTTTGGATATGGCTGGCCGTGGGGATAGCAGAAGAACATAGCGGCGTCCGAGACGAGGCTGCAGCGGACCGCCTTCTTGAGCAAAAGCAAAAGCAGACAAAGAGGAAAAGAACAAAGCAATGCTAAAGGCAACTCGTGCAGCCAAGTCAAGAAGGACAGGTTCGGTTTCATTCGAAGGACACAGTGCGGCATGACGCGGCGTCGAGGCACTTAGGGGCTCACTTCATCTGCACCGCCGCAGGAGGGGTGCCTGGGCAGCCACTGTTGGCCTGGTTCCAAGGGTCAAAGCACTCCATACTTGGAGGAGTGCTGCAGTCTCCTCCATCGGCGTCTCCCATTAGTTGACGAGGAGGGTTGTCTTCAAGGCGGGCGTATCAACCTCTCCAGAAGCGCTGCCACGTCAGCCGCGGTAGGAGATGTATAGCTCGTTCAGCGTTGGCAGAGTGCTGACGTAACAACACGGAATAATCAGATTTTATCAGGGCTGAGGCCGTGTTGTAGCAACATCTGAGATGCCGGCGAAAGATGACTACCCGAGGCGAGCTTATTTAATCGCCGCTAGCCTGTACGTACGTTGAAAGAAAGGAAGGCAAAACAACGGCTGTGTGGGAGGATGTTACTTTTCGAGTGATGCCAGATAGGGGCTGATGCTTCCTTTAAGCCTGAATTTAAAACAAGATAAGTCACACGCGATAATTCAATGGGATTTTGGTGTTCATTCGTTCCGAACACCATCGCTGGGAACGACCGGCGCAAGATGGACACAGAGGACTGGTACATGGCAACTGAACGGCGAGCAGATGGCCGGAGCCCACGAGGTAAACGTGTCAGCAGGGTGACAGAGTAACACACTATCATATGATGCTATCTATTTGAGGGTTCCTACCTTCGTGCTTGCACTTTGTCAGACGCGCAACAACTGTTCGCGTGTTCACAAGATCGCATGGGCGGGAGAGTTACTCTTCCGTTTTCCTGACACAGTAGCAGCAGGCCGTGCGAGTGAAGAGAAAATATTTCACCTGTAATTAACAACTTACCGCCGAGTTAAATTCATAACGTTGACGTGATTGTAAGCGGTTGGTCGTCTGGCGCAAAATGCTTCGTGCAAGCGAATGCGCGCGTCTAGATCTCGGAAGCAGAAGCAAGGTTCCAAGTGTGCAGTGAACAGCAAATCTCTCAAAGATGTGGTTGATGGAGACCACACGTGTTATTTTCCGGGCAAACAAACGAGGCAGGCTGATTTGCGGAACATCACATGTTTTACGGGACACAGCAACGAGAGACGCCTCAGGCTATTCAAAGAACACGTCTCCAGTCTAAACAGAAAACAGAAACGCACCCTTGTTGCGAAGCTTTTTCGAGAATTAACTTCCTCCATTCCTCGTCATAGAGATTACGCAGCAAAGCATGGAGCAGCAAAATTGTGCAGTACTGTTCACATTCCGAGGTGATGAGACTATTCGTTTTGTCCCGTAGCAGCTGACATGCACATCACTTTGCTCTTGGCACCAACCGAACGATAGCGATACTCCAGGCATGGCTGATGTCACCTAACGATGGAATTCTAGCAGTCACCTTCATCATCAGTTTTTAGAGTTCCAGTTGGAAACCTGCAGGAGCATTCAGCATCGAGCATTTCGAGCATCGAGTTGATGTCGCTGTCGGTCTCGGGCGCTCCGGCTGTCGAGTGTCGACTACAGTGTCACAGTGTCACGCGAACGGTCTGATGCGACTGTCGAGAGCTCGAGACGAGTGTTTGGCATATTACCAATAGCCGTCAGATGCTTCTCAGAATTAAGTTCGGCAGCCAGCCAACCACTGGATTCGGTCAAATCTCCGGAAGCCGTTATATTCTAACTTCCACAAAACGATGGACTTGGAGAGTTGGTGACAACCTGTCTCCTTCACCTGCTATTCGTCAATGGATTTATGAATGGAAGACTACAGATCTACAGTCGAGTGACACAGTCTACTGTACAGATCTACAGTAGACATTGAATTCCTATTCCATCTCCAACCGAAAATCTCCAGCTGTTTGCTACCGCATCGGCAGGCCGGGGCGCGGCCGCGGCCAGGGGCAACGGGACTTTGAAATAGATATACAATTACTCTTTACGCTTTTTATAAACATATTCACACTAGCTTTTAATATTAAGTAACTTGTTGCGAACCTTACTGTCATCAACAGATGCTTTGGCCGAGTGGTTAAGGCGTACGCCTGCTAAGTGTATGTGATATTCACGCGCAGGTTCGAATCCTGCAGGCATCGGGCATCTCTATGACGATGAAGATGACATTTTAATTTCACACAGTACAAACGGTCATACGAAATAATGACGGAAACCGGCCCTATTTTGGCAACGACGGCGGAATTTTCGGGTGCTTGTATAAATAAAAATATAACTCGGATCCGGATTCTATAAAGTGCAGTCGACTCGGGAAGACCTAGACTATCAATCCCGCAAAAAAAAAACAAGAAAAAACCTCGTATGCAAAAAAAGGAAAACAGAATTTTGCCTTAACACTGAGAGCACGCGGCACTGAGACACGTCAGACGCAGTAAAACATCTAGTAATCCATCTGACGTTTCCACTTTGTATCCGATTCTGAAATCGGATCTGGAAAAAATTAAAAATTGTGCAAGTTTTTACACTTCCCGTTTGGACCAATCACGAAGCTTAGAACGGTCCCGACAACATTTTCTCCAATCATTCACTCCGCACAGGACGCGCGTAAGCTATGTATGCGTCCATTCATTACAGATCGTGCGACGGATATTCTATTTAAAATGGCAAAACTCGAAGGGAAAGGTCTATGAAATAAATCTAGCTCGACGTTTACAGTGACGGCTCACGTTACTGTGGACAGACGGTCATACATCATGTGCGCGACAGTGCTTCGCTTTTTGCATCCCAACATGCCATGCCATAACGCGTGGGTGGCGTTGCCTTGCGGTAAATGTACACGATTGCAGTGGCATTGTCATCGTTTGCTGGACTTCGGGTTTAGGCTTAGTTATTATGGGCTCTGACTAGCCCCTAGCCTGACCCTGCTTCCGTATCGTGTCCGTGACATCCTAGCACTGTACTGTACAGTAGTACAGTACAGTAGTACAATCATTGTTTCATTGTCTGGGTTTCCGAGAGCATAAAGCCTCGGCCAGACACTAGTTAGAGGATGATCAGTTTGATGCTCAGCGAGCTTAGCCGGACAGCGGATCTGTCTTTCTCGCAGGTTATGGCCCGCACCGGCTTTCCGGTGATTCTGATGATGGCACAGCGCCTTGCTGTTGCCATGTTCGGCTAAGTAGGACGTAGGAGGGGTTGAGCGCCCACTTGGGCGGTGGTGTATCATTCTCACGGTATGGCCTTTTGACATGGCAGTGATGGCGGCACGCGTTGTGCTCGCCTTCGCTGCGCAGGAGATCGGTTTGTGACGGATTGTTTTTTTTATTTTACAGCAGTATCGTCGCAGCGAGAGTTGATCTGCATCGTGCGCCACTGGCCCTGGCGAGGACGCTCCACACGTTGTGAATTTTGGCCGCTCTTAGTCTTCCGCTTACGACCTGTGATTTTCAATCTGTTCTGCTGAGACTTCTACAGAGTATCTGGCCGCTGTGACGATTCTTACACCACCACCCTGCTTAGCTCGACCTTTCCCCTGTCTCTCTGTCATGGTTACCACGGCAAATAGAATGACGCGGTCACGCGTCCGTAGATTAGAGACGATTTTTGATGATGTGGGTGCGCAGCACACTGCGACACCACACACCCCGCAGCTGCCAGTTCCGACCACCGCAGCTGCGAGGGAGACTCTCGACAAATGTCAACAGCTTGCTCGCGACAATTTTGACAGGAAGGTTGCGAAAATCGTTGCCACGAAAATTCTCGGAGACAAATCAGACCGCTTCGCTGGTACAGAGTCCGACGCAGTCGACATTTTTTCACAAGTCGTGCATGAGCTTCGAGCACAATTTCTTCTCCAGTCGCAGGCACTTGCTCCCCTCTTTGACCTGACTGACATGACTGTTGCGGCTAGGCATGAGGGCAACGAATTGCTGCTTTCGGCTCTGACGTTTCTGGCTCGCCCTGGCTCGCCTGCTCGTGACTGGCTTGAGGCCTCTGGGTCTGACGTTCCTGGAGATGGCAAGCGTGCTGCCCTTGAGGTGGTACGCATGCTCCAGGAACGCTCAGAGCCCTTTGACTCTTTTGAGTCGCTGCTGGCGGTTCGCATCCCCAGCAGCGAAGATCCTGACCGTGGCATCCGTGAGTTCAATGGCCTGTTGCGGGACGTTCAGCGTTCCCACAACTTGCCAGAGGACGCGGTGAAGCGGCAGTTTCTAAAGGCTCTCGGCAATTCGGCGTTGTACCGTGACTTGGCTAATTCCTTGGCTCGAGCTGACCAGCGGCAGGGCGTGTCTCTCTTGACTATTCAGGCTCGTGTGCGGGAGCAGTTCCGCCACGGCTTGCAAGTCTCTGACACCCGTGTCTCTGCTCTGTCATTCGGCGATGGCGCGTCTGACCTGGCTGCGGCGTTGTCCAGTCTGCAGAAGCAGCTGGAGCGCATGCAGCAGGACATTCGTGACCTAAAGCGGCAGAAGCGGGAAGGGGCACCGCCTGCGGGCAAGCACCTTACCCGCTCTGCTGCTAAGCATCATCGTGCTGGTGTTAAGCCACTTGGCACCGCTCCTCCTGTCTCGTTTGACAAGAAGAGCGGTGCCTTCGTGCCTCACTGCAGAAATGCGGAGTGTGCACAAAGTGGTTTGAAACACTGGCATGCTGAATGCCCCAACGGCGGTCCTCAGTCTGCCCACTACTGTGGTGCAGTTGAGGACTATGAGACTGACTGCCTGGCTGTTCGTTTCCAGCGTTTCTATGACGCTGGGGATGAACATGCCTTCGAGTCGCTCTGCACGATGGAAGGTCGCCCAGAGGTGGTCGAGCTGTCGGCGCATTCTTTTGTGACGGCTGAGCCCACGTCTCTGCGGCACTTTCAGGATGCGGCGGCTTCCGCTCAGGATGCGGCGGCTGACGATGACGGCATGGCTCAGTTTGGTCTGGCCACATTCCACTCGGATGCACGGGGCTCGATTCCGCCACCGCCTGCGGTTCGGCATCCCTCTGCACTCGTGGCTGGTGGTGTGCCTGCGGCTCATGACCCGCCGGTGGTTGTCCCTGGCTCTCTCGGCTTGCCTGGCTCTGTCCCGTCACTCCAGCTCGGCGACTCTGCACCGGCTCCGCTGTTTGCTGGCATGAGGATTGAGACTTCTGACATTGGCTCTGAAGGCTCTGACAATGACCACGGCTCCGACAATGACTCTGACGGCGGGCAGCGAGTGGCTTTTGGCTCCTTCGGCGCTCTTGAGCATGACTCTGACGGGGGAGCATCGCCAGCGGCCGGTGGCAGTCTGACTCCGATGTACCGTCCCCGGACTCCGCCGAGCTTTCTCCGGTGTGCATTGATGGCTTCCGTGCTTTGCTGTTCTCTGCTGGCTAGCGCTACGGCATCTCTGGTTGCCGTGGGCGGTGGTGACAGGGGCCTGGTTGAGCCCGGAGCCACCGCCCGTCGGTCTACTGGAGATCTCTTTGCTTCGGCTCCACCACTTGGTGCTGCAGGCATCCGTGATTGGCCGCCGGATGATGGGGTTCTTCCGTGTTCCTCTTCAATGCTCGAACCGCCGTGGGATTCTGCTTGTTCAAGTTCTTCAGTTGTTTTCAAGTCTTTGCCATCTTCGGTTACTTTGCTCTCTACTACGGATCCACCTTACCCACTTGGGTCTGGTGGTGCTCGATTTGTGCAAGGCAGCTTACAATTTACTTCGGGATTCTTCTGCACTTGCATCCCAACCGCTGAACTCGGCCCTGCTGACCAGCCTCGAAGTGGCTGAGTTTCTTGTCGATCGTCCTGGCAGCTTGATTGACTTTAGCCCAGTAGTGGGGTGGCCGGGTCAAGACCCCGGCACCCAGCTAGAAGTGACCGGTTTCCACCGAAGTGAATGTTAGGTGTTTGTTTATTATCTCGTGGCTGTGTATCCTGTACCTGCTTTGCTAGGTAGTCACACCCACGGGTGGTGTGCTGGACTTCGGGTTTAGGCTTAGTTATTATGGGCTCTGACTAGCCCCTAGCCTGACGCTGCTTCCGTATCGTGTCCGTGACATCCTAGCACTGTACTGTACAGTAGTACAGTACAGTAGTACAGTCATTGTTTCATTGTCTGGGTTTCCGAGAGCATAAAGCCTCGGCCAGACACTAGTTAGAGGATGATCAGTTTGATGCTCAGCGGAGCTGTCTTCCTCGCATCGTTAGCGTCTGCGGCGATCGTGAGGAAGTTCGTCTGTGTCGCCCGTTGGGATTCGCGCTTTGCTGTTGCTGCTGCTGCTGATTAAGTAAGTACTAGACGGATCGATCTCAAAAAGAGATCTCCACTAGGCCATCTGACCGTAGGATCATGTGCGCGACAATGCTTCGCTTTTTGCATCCCAACATGCCATGTCACGGGGAGACAGACTTGTCAGATATATAGTTCCGCTGTAATATATATCTAGCTGAAGAGATAAACCCTGAGTTGAGGGTTACGATATCAGAACGGTAAAGTGTGATTGATAAAAGTAGAGATAACATAAATACCTAACGGGTGTTTCCCGTCTACTGGTGACGGTCATGCTGGATTCAGTGACCCGTAGGTCATAACTTACTCTGACTCCCGATAGCTGTACCAGTACTCGTACAGTACTAGGTGACAGATACCTAGGTCACAGACCGCCTTATATTCGTTTATCTTTATAATCAGTTTACACTTGTATGAAAAGTATTCAGTGACCGCCCCGATATAATACGGTATATTATATCTCACAGGTTATGGGGTATTACCCCGCTTTTATCACTGCTGACTTTGCCATGATTGGCTAAGCTTTTCCGCTTGGCGGGGCGTTGGGGCCTCGCGAGGTGTTGAGTTGGCCACTTTAGGGCGTGCGGTTTGCACCAAGTTGCGGTGAGATTTCGGGTTGGGACTTTCGGCGACTTCTTCGAGTGTCCGCGTTGGATTTTGTTTTAGACTTGGCTTGATCACCCCTGTCAGCATCTCCTTGGCCGTCGCGTATTCGACTTCGTTGATTTCGTTCGACCCCATCTTCTCCTTACTCCGCAACTGCATTACGGTCGCCCGCCACCTTACAATTTACACCTCGCTTTTTCCCCAATCCCCCTCCTATAGGAATTTATTCTGATGACTTCATCCTCTGTTGGTACACCGGCCGTGGGCGCTAGAAT